CCCCAAAACCCCAAAACCCCAAAACCCCAAAACCCCAAAACCCCATCAAACTTCTAGTTAATTGAGGTATAACCAATATGAATTATGGCCTTGTTATCTGGGCTGGGACTGGGATAACTTAGCAAATTCAGCTCACATCCCTTTAGATCTCCTAAAATGCTTCTTTTCTGCTAGAGCTTTAAGGTAATCCTTATTCAAGTTTGAATTAAAAGCATGAGTAATTTGGTTAAATTCACTGATCCCATTGATCTTCTTAAAAACTTTGCTGTCTCTTAGATCAAGCTTCCTAGGTAAGCTCACTGCTCTCATTGGGTTCAGAGGATCAATATTCGAAGATCTCCCATTGACACTGACCTGGCTGATCTCTGAGCTCTTTGGCTTTGAGAAATCACTCCAGATTATGTTTGACTGAGAGTTTCAATTATAATCTGTCTTGAAAGGCGTAGTGAAAAGGTTAACTTTCTGTGGAGGATTCTTGCTCTTTTGACCTAAAATATCCGTCTTCTTGTGCTTCCCCTCCTTAAGGATGAGGTAGTTAATCTTCTGGTCCTGATTAAGAGCTCGAGCTGTGTTCGATTCCATGATCGTAATATTCCCACTCTCTGTTCTAGGATTGGGGCTTGCTGACTTATTTGTATCAGTCAGAGTCTTAAGCTGAGGATTATTTCTATCAATAAAACCATATTCCTTCCTAAGCCTCGCAAGACGCTGATCTCGCTTCATAGGAGATCCTGATGCTACTTCGTCATATATCGGATGGGCATTAAGCTGGCTCCGAATTAGGGCCTCATTATTACTCGTATTAACTTCTTTCTCATAATTCCTACTGATATTGGAAGGAGCTGACAAGAGCTTCTTGGCCAAATCTCTTTGACTCCAATTCGCCTTACTGTGATTATTCAGCTTTGCCAAGCTCTGGTTGATTTTCTGAACTGACCTTAGAGCTTTATTATTCGGATCATAAGTATGCATTAACTTCACCTTTGCCTGCCCAACTTCTGTCCTCAGAAACTGCCTGTGGTGCACTCCAAGCTCTTTATTAATCAACTGGAGATCACCACTGGTTGTCAAACCAGCAGCTGAAAGAGTTTTAAGCCTTGGATCAAGAGTCTCAGGGTTTGAAAAGTCAGTTTTCTCAAACCTATTCGTGGCTAATGGAGTCAGAATGCCAACTTGAGCCTCCTTCCTCTTAAAGTCCTCAATGGATTTCCTCGATTGGACAAATTTATCAGCAGCAGAGATATTTTCAAGCATGTTGGTCCTAAAGAAAGATTCAAGGGAATATCTTACATATACTTGTTTCTAGCGTGAGACATTTTCCTGGACTCTTTTAAAAGGGAATTCTCAACATACATCTTCTTCTGGAATGCCTTCCTTGGAATTCTCGTGATCCTATAGAACGTGTTAAAGGCTGATTGGGCCTCATCTGTTGTTATTAAAGTTATAATGTAGGTAACCAGGCTTGAAATAGACTAGAAAGTTGCCTCAAAAAGCTGGAATCCGACGTTGCACTGTTAATTACCCTTTGCTCTTCCTTGCACTTTGTGATGGTCCGAACTTATTCAGAGAGGATAGCTTCGATGACCTAAAAGAAGTAGAATTCATTTTTATTTTATTTCTATAATATTAATTAATTTAGGGGTTTTGGGGTTTTGGGGTTTTGGGG